CCCTGGATCTGAGGTTAGACCCCAGTGGGGCGCCCTGGATCTGAGGTTAGACCCCAGTGGGGCGCCCTGGATCTGAGGTTAGACCCCAGTGGAGCACTCTGGATCTGAGGTTAGACCCCAGTGGGGCACCCTGGATCTGAGGTTAGACCCCAGTGGGGCACCCTGGATCTGAGGTTAGACCCCAGTGGGGCGCCCTGGATCTGAGGTTAGACCCCAGTGGGAAAAATACAGAAATTAAACCTCAAAGGAAAGGATACATGTGGGAAGGACTGCCGTGGGAAGCTGTGGTCAAATTGCCACAGAGGGTTTGAAGCTAGCCCCCCCATATGAATAATGCTGAGGTTGGACCCCCAACAGAAATTACTCTGGTTAGACCTTGTGCTGAGGGCCAAGGTTAGACCCCAACAGAAAGCAACTGAGTTTAGATCCCAGTGGGGCATACGGAGTTGAGGCCCAGGAGGGAGAGACCCAGGGTGTGCCATGCTGGAAAGGTTAGACCTGATTGAAAAGCCCAGGGGATCCAGTGACCAGGGAGTTTGAGACAGGGCTGGTTTCCCTGGCCCAAGGCTGGGCTGGCTGTAGGATTTGCTCCCTCTGGCAGCCCGGGCTAGGGCAAGGGAGAAGGAAGCAGAGGTCTGTATCTCCGGGACCAGTGGAGGGCAGGAACAGGGAGAACTCTCGCCCTCCCCCACCGCAGGCCAGGAATAGCGTCGGGGGCAGTGGGTTGGGGACTAATGCCTGAGCAGGATCCAGGCTGGTGGGGAGGGTAGGCTTTTTCCTCCCTGGGGGAGGGTTTGGGCGGGACTCCTGCTTCCCAGCGCAGAGGGGTAGACACCACAATCATTCTGGCCATCCAGTCTACCTCCTACCAAGGAAGTCCACCCAACAGTCTGACCACCCACACTGACCGTGAAGACCAAGCCACCTGGTGGGTTTTTAGGAGGCAGGAGACCACCAATCCTTGGCCACCCTTGCCAGCTCCTAGAATCCCGGGCCCAAGCGTGGCAAATTGCAGGGAGCTGGATCGCCTCCCTCTTCCTGGCAGCCCGCCCAAGGGTGTCCAGCCTGGACTGGCCATGGGCACAGACTGTTGGCGTGGGCGGGGTCTCCTCCCTCCTGCTGCCCGCCTGCCGAGGCGGAGAGCTGCATCACCTGCCGTCCTGGGTGGGAGTGGGACCCCGGCGTGGGATTAGGTGAGTTTCGTCAGCAATGGTGTGAGTCTGTGAAGCGTGTGCTCACGGGCTTGTATGTGCACGTGTGTGTCCACTTAAGGGCTGGGGCCCTCGCCTGGCCGTTTGCGGGTTCGCTGCCTAACTTCCCACTTGCTCCTCCATCTGGAACAGCACGCAGTGGAGTGGTTAAGGTTGTGGAGCCCGAAGTCCCACTTGACCACTCTGTGCCTCGATTTCCCCATCTGTAAAATGAGACTAATAGCATTATCTCACAGGATTATTAGAAGGGCTAGTTGTGTCAATACCTGTCAGTCACTTACCAAAAAAATATAACATCGCCTGGCATGTGGTAAGGGCGGTATGAATGGCAACTGTTGTTACTATTATTAATGGGTGCCTTTGTGGTTGTTTCTGGCTGGCTTGGCGAGGTTATGTCTGCAGGCACAGCGTGTGAATTTGGATCTGACTGGTTAAACATTTTTGCCCTCCCCCTGGTTCTGTGAGCCTGTAACTATTTGTAGCTGTTCGTGCCTCTCTGGCCCTTGTATGGATCAGAGTGTGTGTGTGTTGGGGAGGGGGAAGGATGCCTCTGAATGACCCCCAAGCCCCCCCAAACACACACACACACACACACACACACACACACACACACAAAAGCACCCTTCGCCTCTGTCCCTTGTCTGTGGTGCTGAACCTGAAGGGTGGGTGGGAGGCTTGGGCTCCCCCCAACCTCCTCTCTCCAGGCCCCTCCCCAGGCCTCCCCCGCCTCCTCCTCCCCTCGGTCTCTGGCTCCTCCTCCTCCCTCCCAGCACTCTCCCCCGTCCCTCCTCCTCCCTCTCTCCCGACTCCCCCTCCCCCGTGTCCCTCCCCCCTCTCCCTCCCCTCCTCCCTGGCTCTCCCTCTCAGTCTCCAGCTTCTCTCTCTCTCTCTCTCTCTCTCTCTCTCTCTCTCTCTCTCTGTCGGGCGGAGTCACCCACCACTGCCAGCCCAGTGCTAGGGGGACCTGCTCCAAGCGGCAGCTGCAGGTAAGAGACCCTCCGTTGGGGGGGGGGCGTGGAGGAAGGATGGTGTTGTCCCAGGCGGGTGGAGGGGGACATTTGAGGAGCCAGGAGCCGCTTTTCCCTGAGCTCGTCTATGGGGGCTGGGGGGCTGCATATCCCGGGTGGGGATACTCAGTCCCTTCCGTGCGTTGGGGGCGCCACCAGCAGCCAACATCCTCAGCCCCTCCTGTGTTCCAGGGAGCATGGCGGGCTGAGGAGGGGGTGCCTCCTGGGCACTGAGGGGGCGAGAACACCCCAGCCTGTCTGGGGCAGCCCCCCTTCGCCTTCTCTCCCTCCGCCCCCGCCTTCCTGCGTCTGGGTCTCATCCTTCTGTCTCCACGTCTCTCGGGGGTCCTGTCCTGCGGAGTCTGGCTGCCTCTCTTGAGTCCCTTTCGCTGTGTCCGTCCCTCAGTCCCTCACTCGCGCCTCTGCCCCTCTGGTTCCCTCTGTGCGTGGGTCTGTTCTGTGTCTTTTCGGGGTTCTGTCTCTAAGTCCTTGGTTTCTTTCTCCCTGCCTTCCTGTTTCACCATCTGTGTGTGTGTGTGTCTGTCTGTCTCTCTCTCCCGTCCCTGCTCTCCTGTGTTTCTGTCTCTGTGGGTGTCTCCCTCTCTCTTCTCTGCCCGTCTCCCTGCTCTCCATCTCTGTCTGTAGGTATGTGGTCTCTATTTCTCTGTCTCTCTCTTCCCTGGTAGCGTGTTAACTCTCCTCCTACACACGTTTGTCCCCGCCCCTGGCAAGGGGGAGACCTGGAGAAAGAAGACTCCCCCCCCCCCCCCCGCAGAGTGGGCTCCCCCAGAAGGCGCGGAGTCCCCCAAACTCCTCTCCCTTCTTCAGCTGAGCTCCCGCCCATCCTCCCGGCTGGCTTGTGCCCCGTCCCTCCCCACCCCACCCCACCCCCGGACAGAGCTCCTCTCCTCTCCCCTGCCTTGTACCTGGCATTCTGAAGCCAGTCCTTCCTGCAGTCTACCCTGTACCCTTTATGGTGGAGACTGCACCAGTCCTCCAGTCTTGGCTCCCCATTCCACTCCATACGGACTGGACCGGTCCTTCCTGCAGTCTGACTTCTATACCTCTTTTGCCATTTGTGCATTGCTTGCCTCACTCGTCCGCTCCTTTGACAGTTACTGAGCACCTCTCCTACTCCAGGCACAGCACCAAGGTACTGGGCGAGTCAGGCCAGTCCTTTCTGCAGCCTCACCCCCATTCCTCTCGTGGCCTACCAGCCTCAGACCTATCTCTCGATGGAAGTGGCTCTCCAAAGCTCCTTCACCATCCCTTGGGGGCTCCGAGAGGGCCCCTCTGAGTCTGGAGGTCCCTGGCCAATGCATCTTCTTCTTTCCTGGGGGAAGGGGGCCCCAGAGAAGCTGGGCGAGAGTGAGTGACCAGGGGAGAGGTGTGGGCCTAGCCTGTAGCCCAGGCTGTGATGGGGTGAGGTCCTCAAGTATCCACGTGGGGCCCCGCTGGATTCGGAAGAGCACCAGCTTAGGAGTCCGATGCCTCGAGTTTCTATCCTCCTCTGCCCCTGATTTGAAGCTGCTTGACCTGGCCATGCTCTTTTCCCCTCTGGACCTCAGTTTACCCATCAGGGTGTCATAGCCCTGAGCACTGAGACTATGTGTGACCCCCAGGCTGGGACGTGGTGCTGGGAGAGCCTGGCTCACCCCTGGAGCAGTAAGTGGGTGTGTTTAGAAGCCTGTGTCCCCACCGCAGAATCCCTCCAAGGGGTGGCGGGCAACCCTTGCCCCCACCAAGAGCACAACCAGGAACCACCACCTCCCTTGCCAATGTGAGGGACGTGAGGGAGGGAGGAGGTCCCACCTGGCATACCAGACTTGACCCCCCCCATGCCTGCAGTCCCACTCTAGGAAGGAGGTCTCCGAGCCCCCGGGGGGTGCGGGAGGTGGACCTGGGGTGCTCACCACTGACCCAGCTGGTCACCTGCCCACAAGGGTGGGGAGAGATGCAGAGATGCCACCATCTGCCCTCCAGACTCCTACCCTGGCTTCAACCTGATCCTTTTGCCCCTGGATTCTAAACCCAGCTAAGGTTTCAGGGCTGCTGGTGGATGGAGAAGGCACAGGCAGGCGCCTCCAGCAGAGGAAGCCCAGCTGGCCCCAGCGACAGGGCTCAGAGCTCTTGGTCCTTCGTTTCACAAATATTTATCTAGCGCTTTCTCTCCCTGACCCCTCCTCCCCTAAGGCCTCAGTGAGAGAAAACCAGGTTTTGCAGGAAAAGAGATTGAGCCAGGCTGCTTTGCCCAGCCCCTGGGCAAGGAGGGCAGGCGTGAGAACGCCCATTGGCAGACTCTGGTCTCCCTTAAGGACTGCAGCAGGAGGGACAGGTGGTTAGACTTGAGGGGGCGATTTCCGGGCCATGGCCCTCCCATGACAGAGGGAGTTTGATGCTTGAGATGAATTCTTGACTCCCAGGTGGCCCTTGTTACTCCTGAAAGCCTGGGAGAAGGGAGGGAGAAGAGAGCATGAATCTTTGCTTTGGATCCTGGTGGGTTTGTAATTATGCCTAAGTTGTTGCTAATTAGGGGGCTGCTAATTAGATGTACCATTAGGGGCCTTGCTGAGGGGACTAATTGTGCGGTGGCCCTTTAAGAACCCCCCTCCCCCCGCCCCCCCACACGCATGCACTCCTGCACGCGCGTGTGCGCGTGCACACACACACACACACACACACACACACACTCCTCAGGGAAGTTCTGCCAACATTCTGCCTCCCTCCCCCAGAAAAGCCAGCTCCCTGCCCGTGAGTACGTGGGTGTGTTTTGGGGGCAGGCTGTGGGTTAGACTCAGAGAAGAACTTTCAGACAGACATGCAAGTTACGGGGAGAACTGAGGCAAGACAGTGATCAGGGAGGTGCAGACTCAGGGGGCCCCTCCTTCTCTCAGTCCCCCCCTTTTTTATAGGCTACTGGGTTACCAAGGCAATGCAAGAGTGGGGCAGGGGAACTGGGAGTTCGGGCCACTCTTGGGGAGAGAAATGGAGCCAGAGTTGGTGCTGGAGGCTTTGAACGAGTTTTAGACCTCTGAGCCTTGGCCCTCTCCATCGAGGAACTGGCTAGGGACTCCCCAAAGTGGGGTGGCGTCATTTTGAATGGAGAGCTCAGGAAGGTGATGTCTGAGTGGAGAACTGGAGAAGAGAGGGTGAATCTGGGGGGATGAGTGTCCCAGGAAGGGGCAACAACAGGTGCAAAGGCCCTGAGGCACGAACTTCTCTAGTATGTGAGGAACCTCGTGGTGGCTGGGGCCAAGCAAGCAAGGGGGACAGGGTGGGAGATGAAGCCAGAGAGGGAACAAGGGGGGCAGATCATGTGAGACCTTATGATCCAGGGTGAGGGCTGTGGTACTCTGGCTGAGACTGAGTCGGGAGCCATGGAGGGTTCTGAGCAGAGGAAGGATGTGAACTGACTTGCATTTTTGTGTTGTTTTTTTTTTAAGATTTCATTTATTTATTTGAGAGAGGGAGAGCATGAGCTGGGGGGGAAGGGCACAGGGAGAGGGAGAAGCAGACTCCTCGCTGACCACAGAGCCTGACACGGGGCTCAATCCCAGGACCCCGAGATCATGACCTGAGCTGAAGGCAGGCGCCCAACCACCTGAGCCACCCAGGAGCCCCTGGTTTGCGTTTTCAAAGGGAACTGAGGCAAGACACAGAGATAGCTTCTCAAACCCAGGATCAGAGGCTGGAGAAGTATTGAAACCGTAGAGACCCCACAACCCACAAATGAGACCAAAAGCCCAACACGGGGTCTCGTCATAGCTGCTGAAGACCCGGGCACCTCACAGAGACGTAGGGGGTACTGGAGAGAGACACCTGCCGCCGTTGCAGGGAAAGGTGTGAGTGGGAGACCCTCCAGCAGCCCCTCCCCAGCCCCGCTCAGACAGACAGGCAGACAGACATCCTAGACCCCAAGCAGGAGCCCTCTGAGGGTCAATTTGGAAACCATTAGACTTACCTAATGAATTGACGGCTTCCAGCCCCTCGCCTCACCCGCTAAATTATTCAGTCTCTGTCCTTTGGGGCCTGGCTTCATTCCTCCCTCGTCTGTGGGATTCGTCTGTGTGGCTGGGTGGGTCAGCAGCCCGTTCCCTTTCCAGGGCCCTGTAACATTCCTCAGTGTGAGTGCTCTGTGCTGGGCTTCTCCATTTACTGCTGAGAGGCATCTGGGTTGTTTCAAGACGGGAGCTGTTAGACATTCTGGGATGTGTCTTTTGGCAGACACACGACCTATGGCTCCCGGGTGCACATGTACCTGGGAGTGGGACGGCTGAGTCCTAGGACACGGGATGTTCAGCTCTAGTTCCCCGAGGTGGTGAGAGCGACGTGTACTCCACCAGCAGCGGGTGACGCTCCTCCGTCTTTATCTTTCTCTCTTAGTCTCTGTCTCTCTGCATCTCCCTCTGTCCCCACCCTCCTCCTGTCAGCCCCCTGCTTGTCTCCCATGCTCTACCCCCAAGAAGCCTTGGCTCACGTGCGAGTGGGGGGGGTCTGTGCCCCTCACCCACACTTCTTCCTCCTCCCTCACAGGACCCGACACCCTCCATGGCTCCCTTGGCCTTAGTGGGGTTTGCACTCCTCCTGGGGACACCCCCATGCTCAGGGGCAGCCACCCCAACCCCCTCCCTGCCGCCTCCCCCCACCAATGACAGCGATACCAGCACGGGGGGCTGCCAGGGCTCGAACCGCTGTCAGCCGGGGGTCCTGCTGCCCGTTTGGGAGCCCGATGACCCGTCGCTGGGTGACAAGGCGGCACGAGCTGTGGTCTACTTCGTGGCCATGGTTTACATGTTCCTGGGCGTGTCCATCATTGCCGACCGCTTCATGGCATCCATCGAGGTCATCACGTCAAAGGAGAAGGAGATCACCATCACCAAGGCCAACGGTGAGACCAGCGTGGGCACCGTCCGCATCTGGAACGAGACGGTGTCCAACCTCACGCTCATGGCCCTGGGCTCCTCAGCCCCTGAGATCCTGCTGTCTGTCATCGAGGTCTGCGGCCACAACTTCCAGGCGGGCGAGCTGGGCCCGGGCACCATCGTGGGCAGTGCTGCCTTCAACATGTTTGTGGTCATTGCTGTGTGCATCTATGTCATCCCAGCCGGTGAGAGCCGCAAGATCAAGCACTTGAGAGTCTTCTTTGTCACTGCCTCTTGGAGTATCTTCGCCTACGTCTGGCTTTATCTCATCCTTGCCGTCTTTTCCCCGGGTGTGGTCCAGGTGAGCAAGGACCCATGGACACCTCCTTGGTGCATGTATGTCTGCAAAATCCAGAGGGGTGGCTCCCTGGGCTTGGAGACTTGATTCATGTATTTGCAGAAATGCATGCTTACATCTGGGAGGGCTGCCAGGTATGGTTGTGCAGGTCACACACTGCACAAGGGCATTGGGCTGGAGAAGGCAAGTTGGGACTGGAGTCCGTTTGAGTGTGCCCAAGCCATGTCTGGATGGCTGTGCAGGTCCTGGAAAGGGCTCATCCGCCCAGGGGGGGGCGGTGACATTTTGCAGTATACCCATCCAGAAGGGACCCCTTTTAGCTCTCACGATGGTGCCATATGTGTTAACAGAGTCCTTGTGATCTGTGTAATGCATACCACACGCAGTTCATGGTCTAGCCAGGTATTTGCCAGGTACGTTCACATGTTTTCTTACACTCCCTGTCTTTTGCATAATTTATTCCCACCTTTATAATAAGACCGCCTTCATTTGCATAATTCATGCCACAGTTGCATAATCCAACCTTGTGTTTTCTGACAGTGCTAATCAACTTGGGTAACTTGGTACAATTTGCATAATGTATCCACGGGCCTGCATAGACATAGGCCACATCTGGTAATCTAGCTCTGTATTTGCCAGATACGCAATTGTGATTTGCCTAATTCATTATTCATAATTGATTTCTGATGGTAGGATAATTTATCACTGTAATGTAATTTATATGCAATCCAATCCAACGTAGGTATAAGCCCAAGTCCACTGCAAAGGCCACTTTGCATAATTTATTCCAACAGTGAGACAAAATTTAGTCCCACTCCTCAATTTACACCCACGTTCCCATAATCATTTGCCTCTCATCCGTCCAGTGTCTTAACCACATTCTGCTTAGTCTTCCTTTAAAACATGTGCCTAATTCATTTCCCACAACGCCATGACTGCCATCTACATTTGCATAATTTATTTATGGGCCTGGCCTAATTCGTTCACACACATGCATAATTTATTTGAGGCTACCCAGAATTCCTTCACACATGTGTATAATCTCCCCGCACCTATCTGTCAGGTTCTGCCAATTCTAGTCTCTTTCCAGGAAGAAGCTGAAGTTAGAAGTATAAAAATTCTTTGCAGGTGATATAAAAGCAGAAGGGAGGGACCAGAAATTGCAGGTGAGCTAAGGGAGAGATGGTAGCACCAGGAGACAGGGATGAGAGAGGGAGAGAGACCTTTACGGCAACTGACTAATGACTATAATGCCGAGTCTCCTGGCTGCCATGGTGAAAAATGCAGAAGAACCCGTCACACGGTTCTCACGTGCTATTAAAAAGGATGGTATACTGACTTAGGTTTTCAAAGTGCTCTTTGATGAAGATTTACAGCAAAACTATGAAGAGAATTTTAGACACCATGAGTGACAGGTGGGTAGGGACGGGGGTGGAGGAGAGAGATCCCCCTGAGAAGGAGCCAGGCTCAGACTCAGAAAACAGGGTAGAAAATGTCACAGTTGTGGGTGAAGAAGTCACCATGGGGGATCCATTCGGGAGTAACGTGGAAGCCAGAATTATGAGGCACTTTCATGAAGTAAGGGAGGGAACTGGCCTGAGACCAAGATGGTGCCACTTCCTTCTCAACACAGTGAACTGGGCCAGTGAGATGGGTCTGGCGCTGGCTCTTCTCCCGGAGGTGCTGTGTGGCCTCAGGCAAAGCCCGGACCCTCTCTGGGCCTCAGTTTTCATATCTGAACCATGGAAGAGGTTAGACCGGGCCCTTGGTTCTTGACCCTTCATACCCAGTGCTCCCTTTTCCTAGCAAATGCTTTGTTACATCCCTTTACTCTGACGTGAAATTCTTAGATGCTAGGAGAGAGGCCTTCTACCCCAGTAGTCCGGTGCGTGGATCCTGGACCCAGGCATGCTGGGTTCAAACCCCACTTCTGCTTCCTAGCTCTTCCTTGGGCAAGTTCCTCACCTTGTCGGTGCCTCAGTTTCCTCGCCTGTCACCTGGGCATCGTCATAGCACTGACTCCAGAGGGCGGTGTGGGGATCAAATAAATTACACATGTCAGAACCGCAAGCCTAGAACAGAGTAAATGTGAGCGGTTCCTCCCGTTAATGAACTTGCCTGTGCTGTTGGCTTTCCGAGAGTCCGTATAATGGCCGAACTATGATATAAAGGAAAGTAATCTCTGATAGAACGATGTGAATTTCCACATGTAAATGCTTCGGCATGGCTACATTAAAAGTCATGGTGTGGGAACCAGATACCAGCACCATCTTTTACTGAACAAGTTTGGATTTAAGAGAAAGAGAAAGATCAGGAAACGTTCCGTGCAAGGAGTTGAGCAGAGGAGTGGGTAGCTACAAGATTAAAAATAAGTGTATTCAGCATATATTAAAGCATCAGGAAAATACTTCATATACATGTAACAGAGCTGAGTTCTAGACTCCAATTATTAGAAAAGCAGGTGTTTTGCCACCGCGAGTATCCAGAGGGAGGTTCTGAGGTCACAGGACACGGGACAATTCTGTATTGTGTGGGACTGCCCCATGAGTCACTAGACCAGATCTCCCGCCCCAGTCATGGTGGCAGCCCATAAAGGACCCTAATTTGGAGGCACCCCCCCCTTGGGGGTGTTCCTGTCCACTGAAGCTGTCTTACTTCCCTCCCAGGGTGGGCAAGTCCATCCATATGCCCATTCGCAGTGGGTGCCCTGGAAGGAAGATGTGAGTCTCCTAGAATCGCCTTTTATTTACCTGCGGGGGGAAAAGCAAATCTTAGGGGTTTGAGGCTGTCTTCTGATTACGGGAGAATACCCTGCAATATACAGTGACCAGCTCAATGAACACAAGGCCAGAGTTCATTTTACAGCTTGTGTAGAAAATGCGGCCTCTTTTGACAGACCTGCCTGGTGGCTTTGTGAGGCTCTGTTTCCAAGTCCTGCCCTTCTCTCTGAGCCGTCAGTAAATACAGCGACAAAGGGTTGTGGGGATTGGATCTGAAAAGATATTTTCCCTTCTGGGCCCATTTTAAAGACCCCTCTGGGGGCCATCTGATGGTAAATAATCTTTAATCGTTTCATCCTTATCTTTAATGAGAAAGGTAACTGCTTGCAGACCAACTCCTGGGCCTCAATGAGCGCTAGTGTTAGTTTCACATTTTGAGTATTTTCCATGTGTCAGGAACTGACAGTGCTATGTGTTAGGGGTACATAAGCTCGTTCAGTCTTGGGGCCACCCCCATTTTACAGGCAAGAGGCTGAGCCAGACCTCCCTCTTCTAGAACCAGGGTCTGAACACAGCCTTGCCTTGTCTCTCTGGGGAGGTAGCATGTAAACATGGGAGCTTGCTGTGAGAGGCTGTGACAGGAGCCAAACTTGTGCCTCTTTTAGAGTCAAACTCTCGTCCCTAAGGGCCAAACAGATTCTAAGGAAGGAGAGTCTGGCAAAGGCGGTAGGCACTGGTCAGGGGGAGGGGGTGGGGGAGGGGAGGGCGGAGGGAGTGGGCGTGGGGTATCAGGGAGCTTTAGGAAGAGGTTGAGCAGAGCGCGGGCCCTGGGTGATGGGTGGGGTTTGGACAACTCGCCGCGTCCCAGCTGAGGAGGGGTGGAGGAGAAAAAGGAGCAGGGAGCAAAAGATGGAGGGAGAGAGAGGCTGGAAGGGACACAGGCACTGCCCCTTGAGGGGGGCTGAGGCCACGGGGTGGGGACCTGTCTGTCCCCTAGTGGCGGCTGAGGGTGTTTGGGTTCCTGGCACTGGGGTAGGTGGGCATGGTTCTCAGAGTGATGAAAGGTGGATGGGTAGATGGATGCATGGATGCATGCATGCATGCATGCGTGAGTGGATTGGATGCATGCCTGCATGCATCAGGAGACCGGGAAAGAGACGGAGAGAGAGAAACTGCGAAGAATCTCACAAGGGAGAGCGATGGGTATCTACAAAAGATATAAAAGGAGAACAAGGAGACAGAGGTAACAAGACAGAGGAAGAAAGATTCAAAAACCGACCAACACCGAATGGGATGGAGGCAGGGAGAGAGACAACGATCTAGACAGAGAGAGAGATGGGGAGAGGCAGAGACGAGCCGACACCAGAGGGAAGTAGAGAGGGGACGAGGCGGGGCAGGGACCGAGATTACGGAGAGATGCGGGACGGGGCGGGGGCGGAGGGGGCGCCCGGCGACCGCCGGACCCCAGCGCCGGGCGAGAGAGACGCGGGGACGGCGGGGCGGCGAGCGCGCCCCCTGGCGGCGCGGCGGTCCTGACCCGCGCGGCCGCCCGCAGGTGTGGGAGGCGCTGCTGACCCTCGTCTTCTTCCCGGTGTGCGTGGTGTTCGCCTGGATGGCCGACAAGCGGCTGCTCTTCTACAAGTATGTGTACAAGCGCTACCGCACCGACCCGCGCAGCGGCATCATCATCGGCGCCGAGGGCGATCCCCCCAAGAGCATCGAGCTGGACGGCACGTTCGTGGGCTCCGAGGTGCCGGGCGATGTGGGCGGCCTGGGCCCGAGCCCCGCCGAGGCCCGCGAGTTGGACGCCAGCCGCCGCGAGGTCATCCAGATCCTCAAGGACCTCAAGCAGAAGCACCCGGACAAGGACCTGGAGCAGCTGGTGGGCATCGCCAACTACTACGCGCTGCTGCACCAGCAGAAGAGCCGCGCCTTCTACCGCATCCAGGCCACGCGGCTGATGACGGGCGCGGGCAACGTGCTGCGGCGACACGCAGTGGACGCGTCGCGCAGGGCCTCCCCCGCCGAGGGCCCCGGCGACGACGAGGACGATGGCGCCAGCCGCATCTTCTTCGAGCCCAGCCTCTACCACTGCCTGGAGAACTGTGGCTCCGTGCTGCTGTCGGTCACCTGCCAAGGTGGGGAGGGCAACAGCACCTTCTACGTGGACTACCGCACCGAGGACGGCTCCGCCAAGGCCGGCTCCGACTATGAGTACAGGTGGGTTGGCCGTTCGCAGGGCGGAGGCGCCGGGGTCCCGCAGCCGCCGCAGCCGCCGCGCTCATGGGGCTCGGGGGCTGCCTCCAGCGCCCATCCGTCCTTACCTTGCGGTGCGCGGACCTGCGGCATTCATTCATTGTTCACTCATTCATTCACCGTCGAGAGCCTTCTTTGTACCGCACACTGTTCTAGCATTTGCCAGATAGCACGGCTGTCCCGTCTCCCATGTGTATGATCTACCTGTGGGTTTTAGTGCTTGACACCACCCTGTGTTAATTATTACAACTGCATTATGTGTAGTGTTACCTGCTAGGACAAGTACCCTCCCCCCCCACACACATACCATTACTAAAGTAAAAATGTTTGTTGAGCACCTACTGTATACCTGGGAGTATATCATGGTGAACAAGACAGCTAAGGCCCTTACCCTCAAGTTGCAATAAGGTTATGAACTATTAAATAGATAAAAAGATCAGGTGATGGTAAGTGCTATGTGGGAAAATTAAATGGGATAAGAGGGGAGAGGCAGTACCCAAATTATCCCCAGGTCTTTGGTGGCACCATAAAGAAGCCCCCCCCCACCTTTGCACCCTCCTGTGTCTCCCTGCCCCCTGTCCCTCTCCTTATGCTCTCCTGAAAAAAAGGAACACAGAGCAGTAAACAAGATAACCTCTCTATCCTCATGTGACCCACAAAATTCTTTATCTGTTTGTAGTTCTTCTGTCCATACCACACTCTTTCAAGAATGATAGTTTTACAGTGTAGTTTGTTGACCAATGTGCAGTCTGTCATAGTTCCCTATAATAATACCAACATTTCTCACTGGTCTACTATGTGCCAGAAACGGATCGGGGCTGTGAAGACAGGCAGTGAACGAAACACATCAAGTCTGCCCAAATGCAGCTGACATTCTCATGGGAAAGATGGGCCACTGGGGAGTAGACACTGAAGACAGAAAAATGTCAGCTGTGAAGAAACTAAAGCAGAGGACGGGAGAGAGTGTTGGTGACTGAGCTTCTCTCGGGTTCCACCTGCCAAGCAGTCTGCCATACCTCCCTTTCGTCCTCCTTCCGGAGTAAAGCTGAGGCGGACCTGGAGCAGATCTTTGGTTCTGCTCCTGCAGCAGCCAGTCCCTCATCCCTTTAACTCTTCTCTTTCTGGGGCTGAGTTTCTGGGTTTCACAAATCTTCAGCTCCACCACTGTGCCCCAGCGAAGACCATCAGTAGCCCAGCCTCCCCTGCTCTGCCGATCACATGTTCCTATCCTTCTACTGCTTTGGGCATTTGTAGGTCATTCCCTCCACCTCGGGTCAGTCCAAGATCCTTTGATCTGCCCATCTCCATTCATTTCTCCTACCCTCCCACCCGCCCCCTCCCTGCACTCTGCTTCTCCTGAGTGGGGCTCAGGGTCTTTGTTCTGTCATCCTGTAGTGTGGGATCTCTTTGGTCATCCATGACCAACCCCCTCCCTCCTCTCCCTACCATCCCACATCTCCCAGCCTCCTTCGACTGAAGAAAAGGCATTCACCATAGTGGGGCCTGTTGTCACTCAACCTCTTCACCCTTCCACTCCTACCCACACCCCTAGTCTGCAACTTCCCCCACCAAAGGCTTTGCAAAAGGAAGTGAGGACGGGTGTCACCTGCTGGGATCAGAGGCTCCTTTCTCACCTGCAAATGACCTCAGTACTGAGATGTCTGAAGTGCAGGAGGTAAATGCTGCTCAGTGGTGGAACCAAAGAGCTAGGGAAAGTTGACACCTTCCTCCTGTCCCTGCTCTCCTGTCCCAGGTGACAGTCACGGGCCTGGCATCACTTATCAATGCAGCTTAGGTCCAGGACTGGGAGGGAGGACACCTGGGTTCCAGTCCAAGTTTAGCCCCGGACCCTGTTCCTTAAGCAAGTTCCTGCTTCAGTGTGGGCAATCAGGGATATCACGTACAGTTATTGAGGTTGTGCACTGCATGAGAGCACCACATCTAAGAAAGCTCTATTCACATAGTAGACATTGTAGATTTGTATGTCTATTATGACAGGGTCCTGATTCATGGAAATAGTGTCTTGAAGAAGGGAAGCCATTTTCTGATTTGCCCACAGGTATCATATGGATTAGGGTGATCCGTGGGCCTCAGTTTCCCCAAATTAAATATGACCTCCAAGGCACTGAAAAAGCACAGCTGTTCCAAGATTCTGAGTTTTAACCCCTAGAATCCAAACATGCTAAGGGTCTAAAGCTTTAAGATTCCAGGATTCCTACATTCAGGTATTCTAATCCGCACCCCAACTAGTCTCCGATTTGCTGGTTCTAAGATTTTCATCTTCTCAGAGTTTGTGTATCCGCTGCGGAAACACAAATGCATCTTCTATATTTCTATCCTATGTGGTTTCTAAAATCCCCATGTTCTTTTTCTTCCCAACGTTTTATTTTGAAAAAAATTCATGCCCAAGAAGGGCTGCAGAAATGGTTTGGTGAACCCTCATATAACCTTTGCCCAGGGTTACCAATTGTTCATTTTCTGTCCTGTTTGCATTCACTCACTCTCCCTAATATATACTAATATTAATCATGGTGGCACTAGATGGGAGCGAGTTGCAGACAGCATGACCACTCACCCATAAATACTTGAGTGTGCATCTGCTAAGATTTATGACACCCCCCCTCCCTACGGTCACAGTCCAACTGCCACACTCAGGAAATGTAATACTGAATCGGTATCATTACCCAGTCTGCCGTCCCTGTTTGCATTTCCCCCCGGTCATCCCTGTAACATCCTTGTGACTGTGTTTTCACCCCTCCCTCTTTTCCAATCCAGTCCAGACCCAAATGTTGCATTTGGTTGTGATGTCTCTTTAGAGTTCTTTGGTCTGGATCGATCCCTCCACTTCTCTATGGCTTTCGTGACCTTGACACTTTTGAAGGTAGGCCAGTTAGTAGAACAATCCTCAATTTGCGTTTGTCAGATGTGTCCTCATGATTGGATTCAGGTGATGCACTTTTGGCCAGAACTCATGCAAGTGATGCAGTGTCCTCCTCGGTGCATTATATCAGGAGGCCCATGACACCTGCCTTTTCTACTACTAGTGATGCCCACTTTAACCATTTGGTAAAGATGGTGCTAAAATCCCCACTTAAGCTTACATTTCTAACATCCCATGACTTTAGGATTCTAAGATTCTAATGATTTTTTAAAAGATTTTATTCATTTATTTGAGAAAGAGAGAGAGAGCGGTGGGAGGAGCAGAGGGAGGGGGACAAGCGGACTCTGCGCTGAGTGAGGACCCCGACGTGGGGCTCGATCTCACGGCCCTGAGATCGTGACCTGAGCTGAAACCAAGAGTCAGACACTTAACGCCCTGAGCCACACAGGCATCCCTAAGATTCTAATCTTAATATACAAATATCACTAGCTAAATTTTGTTGAATGCTTCCCTTGCCTTATAACTCGATCCTTATAACGAGGTAGACATTGTTATTAGCTCCACTTTACAGATGAGGACCTGAGGTTCAGAGGGCTGCAAATCCTACCGCCCGAGATCACACAGCCAGCACATCGGCCCGACCCGGCTCGGAGCAGGTGGGCTCCCTGGGCTGGGTGCCTCAGCCACCATGAACAGCGTCTCCTGAGCAGAAGGCCGCAGCCCCAGGGAGCCCCTTACCTGTCTACTCTAGGCTTGTCATCTGGTTCTACCTCTTTGCCAGAACCTCGGGGTCCCTCTGCCTCCCCCCACCCCCCAGAGCTGGACTTCTCTGGGAGAAGTGGAGCCCAGGACCTCTTTCTTATGAAAGTGGTCACAGTAATGATAGAGAACACTCATGGATCATATAGCACCTTTCAGAAATGGTGCCAGTGGTGCATGCTGGGATGGGTTGGGAGGGGAAATTATAGATTTGCAAGGTGCATTTACATCCCAGAGTCATTCTGATGCCTACAGCCCTGCCAGGAACCCACTCATTCCCTGTCCCTTCAAAGTTGCTCTCTGATTACTCTGATGTCATCATCTCATTTCTTCCCCTGCTCCATTATAGAGCATCTCACATATGTTCAGAGACTTACACAACTGATGCTCATTTAGACCTAAGCCACTTATATCCTTCCCCTCCTCAGAGGCCTCCCATGCTTCCCACCCCACTCGGAGTAAGCACCAAAGTCCCCGCTGGGGCCCCTGACTTCTGCCCTATTCCCTCTGTGATGTCATCTCCCTCATCTCCCTCCCCCCTCCCTTGCTCCCTCCTCTGAAGCCACACTTGCCTTCTCAAATACTCCAAGCTGGTCCTGCCTCAGGACATTTGCACTGGCTGTTCCCTTTGCCAGGGATACTTTTCCTCAGATATTCTCCACATGATTCCCTCCCTCACCTCCCTCAAGTCTCTGCTCAAATATCACCTCAGGAAAAATTTCCCTGACATCCTAACACAACACCTTCTCACTCCCTAACCTCTTTCCTCTGTTTTCCTCTATTTTTTTTAAAGATTTTATTTATTTGAGAGAGAGACAGAGAGAGACAGCCAGAGAGGGAACACAAGCAGGGAGAGTGGGAGAAGGAGAAGCAGACTTCCCGCTGAGCAGGGAGCCCGACGTAGGGCTCGATCCCAGAACCCTGGATCACGACCTGAGCCAAGGCAGATGCTTAACGACTGAGCCACCCAAGCGCCCCTTCTCTATTTTTCTCCATAGCACCATCACCACCTGACATTTTACTATATGTTTGTTGTTTACCCATCTCTTGCACTAGAACAGAAGCTCCACCAGGGTAGGGATTTTTCTCTGATCTGTTTTTTTTTTTTTTCAAGATTTTATTTACTTATTTGAGAGACAGAGCATAAGCAGGGGTGGAGGAGCAGAGGCAGAGGGAGAGGAAGAAGCAGACTCCCCGCTGAGCAGGGAGCCCGATGCGGGACTCGATCCCAGGACCCTGAAATCATGACCTGAGTCAAAGGCAGACGCTTAACGACTGAGCCACCCACGTGCCCCTCTGATCTGGTTTTGCTGCCATTTCCCCAACACTAAGAAGAGTGCCTGGCACACAGCAGCTGCTCAGTAAATATTTGTTGAATGAATGAACAGTAATTAAATTATTACATGTGTAATTGTCACCACGATATGGCTCTCCCACGGGGCTGTGAGTGCGGTGAGCCCTGTGAAGACAAGGCCTCTTCGCCACTCTGTTCCCAGCACCACCCAGAACAGGGCACAGAGAAGGTGCTCAGGGAGGATTTGTTGAATGAATGAATGAATGAATGAATGACACCAAGTTAAGGAGTGTGGATGTTCTCTTGTGGGTACCCAGGAAGGCTGAAGGGTTTTCATCAGAAGTGTGAAAAGGTCAGCTCTGGGCACCACATCCCTGCTACTCCCAAGTGTGGTCCCTGTACCCTATGGGAGAATCCACATCCTGTGGGAGTGGCTTAGAAATGCAGCCTTGAACCCCGGAGCCACTGAACCAGAATCTGCATTTTAGCAAGATCTCCCAGGGGATTCGTGTGCACATTAAGGTTTGAGACGTGTGGCTGTGGAACACTGCAGGCTCTCTCCACCCTGGGATTTTGCATGCGCTGCTCCCTCTGCCTGGAGCACTCCTGTCCACTAGAAACTCCCCCGGGAAGCCGCTGCTGATCTCATCTTCATCATTAACTATTTAATGCTGGCGCTACTAATCCTCATGGGCTCCACGAGGGAGGGACTACCTCGGTCTTGTTCCCCTTTTGCATCCCCTACCCTCCCCGCTAGGAAGCCCACCCTAATTCATCCTCGGTATTATTTGTTTAATGCCTGTCCACCCTCATACTGGGGAGTTCTCGGTGGCACCTTTCCCTCCTCCAGGAAGCCTGCCCTGACTACTCTCCTTCCCAGAGCCGCTGACCCACCTTCACCGCTTTCTTTTCCCTCCAACCCTCCCGCCACAGCGAGGGCACGCTGGTGTTCAAGCCGGGCGAGACACAGAAGGAGCTGCGCATCGGCATCATCGACGACGACATCTTTGAGGAGGACGAACACTTCTTCGTGCGGCTGCTGAACCTGCGCGTGGGAGACGCGCAGGGCATGTTCGAGCCCGACGGCGGCGGGCGGCCCAAGGGACGCCTGGTGGCACCACTGCTGGCCACCGTCACCATCCTGGACGACGACCACGCGGGCATCTTCTCCTTCCAGGACCGCCTGCTGCACGTGAGCGAGTGCATGGGCACCGTGGACGTGCGCGTCGTGCGCAGCTCGGGCGCGCGGGGCACCGTGCGCCTCCCGTACCGCACGGTGGACGGCACGGCGCGCGGCGGCGGCGTGCACTACGAGGACGCGTGCGGCGAGCTGGAGTTCGGCGACGACGAGACCATGTGAGCGCGCCGGGGCGAGGAGGGGGAATGGGGCTCCGCGGGCAGATGGGGCGGGGCCGGAGAAGTGGGTGCGGCCGACCAGTGGGCGGGCCGCGAGAGGGGGCGGGGCCTGGGCAGTGGGGGGCGTGTCGGGTAGTGGGCGGGACCTGATTGGGGAGGGCTGGGGAGGCGGGGCACGGCCCAGAGAGGGGGAGGGCCAGGGATGAGGAGGGAGGAGACAGGAGTGACGGGGCGGGGCCAAGAGGAAGGGATGGGACGTGGGAAGGGCGTGGGAGAAAGAGGCTGGGTTGAGGAGAGCAGGGTGGACCCGAGAAAGAAGGGCCAGGTGAGGAGAGGAGAAGAGGTAGGATAGAGGCCTGGGAAGAGGAGTGTAGAGGATTTAATTGGTAGCTAGTAGGAGATGGAATGTGGCCTGAGGAGAGAGGCCTCGTGGACAAGAGGGGAGGGTCCGATCGAGGTGGGCCGGTGCCTGTGGAAACGGAGAAGCAGCAAGGCCTAAGGCGATGGATGGGGTCTGGGTAGGGACCCAAGGAGCTGGACGAGGACGGCGGAAGAAGGCGGGGCCTATGGGGATAGGGCGGAGCTTGGGGCGGGACTAGGGAAAGGGTGGAGCTTGTGGGTAGGAGGAAGAACCTGGGGAAATGGCAGGGCACTTACGGGGAATGTGGGCTAGGCTTTGGGAAAAGACCGAGTAGGAATATGGGGGCCTGGGAAGGTAAGGGCAGGGCTTGGAGAGACAGTGAAGAAACTGGAAGACACCGGATTTGCGGAAGGTGGCGTGGGGTCTGGGGAAGTGGGCTGGATACACCGACACAACCAACACACACGCTGGCACATACAGAATCACCAAGCCACAGACGCGCTCGCTGAAACACGGCGTCAGGGCTGGTCTCACGCCCAGACACCCGGCCACCCGCTTACACAGATGCCCGAGTCTCCCCACTGTGTGCCTGCAGCCTCACATTCCCCGCCACCTGACTGGGATGCAGACGGCGCCTCCCCCCTTTGCCTGCGCCCTTCCGCCCCCGCACGCCCGTCTGTCTCCCTCCTCCTGCCGCCCACGCTCCTCCCACCAAGCAGTGCCCCCACCGTGCTCCCTTCCCCCTCCTCCTCCCTGCCTCTGTGCCTTGGCCTCCGCTCAGCTTCTCACTGCTCTCCCCGCCTCTCCATCCCTCCCTTCGCATCTCCGCGTCTCTCGCTCCTGGCAGTCTCTCTCTGGGTCTCTGTTAATCTCTAGATCTCCGCCCTCATTGTCTAGCTCTCTGACTCGGGTTATATTTCAGTTATGGACTCTCCGTACCTTTCCATCTCTCTCTGTCTCTGGCTTGAGCTGAGAACTTGGGCTGAGGGCTATGGGCACCATCCCAGACCCCCTTCTCACATTCAAGAGGCAGGGGGAATGGGGGAAAGTTGTCTTTCTGCTCATTCTGGTCCTTCCTGTAGTCTAACCCACTCCCCTCCTGCTGCTGCGACCCCACAGGCCCTCTCCTCCCCCACAGGGCTTCCCCAGGCTGGGACGCCCTCTGCCCCCGCCCCCAGCCTCGCCCCCGCCCAAGCTTCCAGCTGTGGCTTCAGATGACAGATAACAGGAGGCTAATTAGCTAAGTTTAGGGAAACACATCCTTCCTCTCCCGGGCAGGCCCTAATTAGAGGTGCTTGGAAGCAGCCCGGCTGGAGGGGCGGCCCCAGGCAGAATCAACACCGACGTGGAGGAGAGACGCCCAGAGATGGGGTGGTGGGGAGAGAATGAGAGCGAGAGACAGAGAAGACCTAGAGAGAGAGAGAGACGGAGAGACAGAAGACAAAGGCACAGAGTTAGAGAAAGACAGAAACTTTGATACAAAGGGAGAAGGAAACTGAGAAATATGTAGAGAGAGGGAGCCAGAGAGATTGAGGAGCTATGATCCAGGAAGCCTGAAGGGAAGCGAGATGCAGGGAAGAAAGAGAGAGACTTTCTTACTGAGAGAAACTCAGTGGGACTCAGGGAAGGAGAGGTCCTCTTGATGCGACAGAGGAAAGAGTTTGGGTCAGAGAGAGGCACAAGAGACAGGATGCGAAGGAGACTGGTTCGAGATCAGAGGCTGCGGAGGGCGGGAGAGTGGGGTTTCCAGGAAACAGGGAGGGCAGGCATGAGAGAGTCAGACTGGGGAGAAAGGCTGCTTCCTTTAATCTCAGGAAGTCCTGCCTTTGTCTAGCTCGAGTCCCTCTTGCTGTCCCCTGCCAGTTGGGTTTCTCCTCCCTGGGTCCCCTGAGAGGGCACGCCTGTCAGGGTGCCAGTTGGCACGCGTGTCACTGCGTGTCAGTCACCACATGCTGGCGGATCACGGCGTGTCTGGGAGAAAGTGAGCGTCGGAGGTGTGTGTGTATCACTTTGTCAGCGTGTCACCAGGTCGGCAGCTGTCTGCGTGTCAGGGTGTGTGAGGAGAATGTCTCCGGAGAGCCTGCTTCTTGCCACGGTGTTCCAGCACCGTGGACAGCTCCCAGCCCACAACTGAGGTTGGGGGCGGCCATTTCTTTTCACCCACAGAAAATTTAAAATATCCTGAGACCAGGAGGGGGTGAGGGTGGAGGTGGGCATATGTCCCCACATGACTGTCTTGTGTACATCTGTCTTTGTATGGGTGTCGCTGTGTCCTGTGCGTTTGTGTGTTGAGATGGGTCCATTGAGAGACCGTATGGTTGAGAGCCTCTTGACTGAGTTGCATTGACTTCAGTTATTCCAACCTATGGACACCGAGAGACCTAGATGGGGAGAGAAGAACACAGATGAAGAAAGGCAGAGAGCTGGGGAAGAGCCTGAGACAGAGAGGGTCAGAGATGGAGAGAGAAAGAGAGAGACTGGAGGGAATAAAAATAAACAGACACCAAGAAGCTTAATGAGGGAGATGTAAGGAAGGAGAGTCTACATGGTACCACAATGGGGCTCTGCAGGTTGGCGAAGTCGCGAGGCTGTGGTGGGGGTGTTGTGCTAACAGGCATCTGGTCTGTGTGATTTTGCCACTGCATAGGGAATGGCTGCGGGGTGCGATGGTGTGTGGGTGTGGGCAGTGTGATTGGCTGAGCTTCCTCTGCTGGGTGACTGTGTGGGCTGGGTGTTTGTGTTTCTGGGTTCTGGGGCCAGGCCGCGAGGCTCCTACCGCTGAAAGAGCTGCTAGTGGCAGGGCTGTGGTCTTTCTGGGGTTGTGGATCTTTGTGAGTGGGGGGGTGGGTTGTTTGCCTGGAGGGCAAAAATAACGTTTGGCTGTTCCTCCCTAGTCACCCCCCCCCAGTTACCATAGCAGTGGGGATGCTGACAAAATCAATTAGCACTCAGTTAACCCTCAGAACGTGGTCAGGACAGAGGGCAGGAAACAGAGCATCTCCTAAGCCGAAGGCTTAGAGTTAATAAATGTTTCTGGAAGGCATACTATGTGTCAGGCACTGTTCTAGGCGTTGGGGATACAGCAAAGAATGTAAATGAACAAAGGTCACCGCCCTGGTGGAACTTACATCTTAATGTGAAGAGGCAAATGGCAAACCATAAACCAAATAAACACATTAGGTGGTATGTTAGAAGGTGATATGGAACAAAGAAGATATAGAGCAGAGTAAGGGGGCCGGGCATGCTGGGGTCCAGGCAGGGGTAGATTTCAAAATTAAGAAGGTGGTGGGAGTGAGCTTCAATGAGAAATTAATTTGAACAGAGATCCAGAGAAACTGAGGGAATGAGCCTGGGGAAGAGTGTTCTAGGTGGACGGAACAACCAGTGCAAAGGCCCTGAGACACAAGCAGGCCTGGCATGTTCAAGGAACAGTGAGGAGGCCAGTGTAGTTGGAGTGGGTGAGTAAGGGAGCGTGGGGCAGGGGGCCAGAAAGGGAAAAAGGGCCACATGGCATGGGGCCTTATTGGCCATTGTAAGGACTTTGGTTTTTATTTTGGCTGAGACAGGAGCCATGTGAACATTTTGAGCAGAGGAAGGACCTGCCCTAACTTTGGTTTTATCAGGACACTTCAGGTTGCTATTTAATAAACCTCAGCTTCCTTAGCTGTTTCTGGGCATGTTTCTGTCAATCAGGGATGATAGAGAGCCTTCCTGTGGGGGGCAGTTGTGAGGATTAACTGAGATTAGGGAGCCTGGGATGGAGAGGTGCTCAAAAAATGGGCTAATGGGTGAGTTATCTGGCAATTTGGGGAGGGGGCTTATGCTGGGTGCTCTTCCTCCCCCCCTCAGGAAAACTCTTCAGGTAAAGATAGTTGATGACGAGGAATATGAGAAAAAGGATAATTTCTTCATCGAGCTGGGCCAGCCGCAGTGGCTTAAGCGAGGGATTTCAGGTGAGGGGTGATGGGCGGGCTGTGGGAGAGGTAAGGGGTTCAGGGTGGGAGGACCCTTGGAGGCTCCATTAGTGGGTGCTCCTTCAGGCTCATGGATCTGAGCTTCCCCAGGAAGCAATCTCACCTTCCCTCTGTTCTCTCTTTCCCCAGCTCTGCTGCTCAATCAAGGTGAGTGGAGTTACCTCTGGGCTTGACTGGACAGCAACACGGGAGGGAGGTCTCGGGAGGGTCGTGGCCTCAAGCTACCCTTCCAGGTCACGTTTGAGGCAAGTTAGAAGTGAGATAAAGGCAGATTCGGGGCTGGGTGAGGGTTGGAACTGACGTCAGAGTTGGTAGGGCCCATTGAGTTCGGAGTTACAGTGGGGGTTTGGAGGCCAAGATCATGTTTTTGTTTTGTTTTTGAGTGAGAGGAGGGAGAGAGAGCACATGATTGGTGGGGAAGGGGCAGAGAGAGAGGGAGAGAGAATCTCAGGCAGGCTCCACGCCCAGCCCAGAGCTCAGTGTGGGACTTCATCTCAGGACCCTGAGATCATGACTTAAGCTGAAATCAAGTCAGATACTCAACCAATTGAGCCACCCAGGTGCCCCAAGATCATGTTTTGTTTGTAGTTAAGATTGAGGGAATCGTAAGTCAGGATCCCATCTGGGTTTATGGTGGTGTCAGATTAGAATTGGGGTCAGATTTAGGTCAAAGCCTAGGTGGGGGTTTAAGGTGAGTTTGGGGGACTTACAGTTCAAATTGGGGCCAGGGTCAGAGATTGGGGTGGGGGTGGGGCAGTGGCTCGAAGATAAGGGACAGAGTAGTTTTGGAGCTGAGATCAGAATTGAGGTTGGGGGTTAGGATTAGGGTCAGATGGAAGATCTTATTAGTCAGGGTAATAGGAGCTTCTGTAACAGATAGGCCCCCTAATCCCAACAGTTTAACACAATAAAAATCATTGCTGGCAGAGTTTTCTGAGTGTTCCTAGTGGGGGTGGCTTCCCACTGAGAGTTAGGGTTAAGTTGATGCTGGGCTTGGATCCAAGGACCAACATGCTTCGGGGAGATAAGTGAGCTATGGGTGGGTCTGTACTGAAATTGGGAATCCTCTCTTTCCTTACCACCTCAGACACACTCCAGGATGTTTTTCAGAGCTTGGATGTAGAGACAAGGCCTCCTCCCACAAGGGTGATGATGATAATGATGCTGGTGGTAATTTTAACAAAGGAAATACCATTTTGGATTATTTATTGTGCACCAGGAACTGTGCTAAGCACTGCACATGAATTAAGTTCTTTAACCCTCACAACCACCCACGAGGTAGCTACTGTCATTGTGCCTCTTTTACAGATATGAACACTGAGGCAGAGAGAGTCCAAGGCATTGCCCCAGGTCACATAGCTCCTTCCATATGACGCCCAGAGCCCACTAGCTGAACCTCATGGACCAGCTGGGTCTTAGGTTGGGGAAGACAGTGGTCAGATGGGACACTGGGGCAGGCTGGGGGCATGCCACCAAGGAGGCTTCCCAGAGGACCGCAGACAGTTTTCTTTCTCAGTGGGAACAGGCAGCAAGGGCATCATGGGCCCAGTGAGGCGGGCCTCCCTGGAGTCTAACTCCCATCCTTCATGCTGCAGGGGATGGGGACAGGAAGCTGACAGCCGAGGAGGAGGAGGCTCGGAGGATAGCGGAGATGGGCAAGCCAGTTCTTGGGGAAAACTGCAGGCTGGAGGTCATCATTGAGGAGTCATATGACTTTAAGGTGACTTTCTGGGGCCCCAGCTTCCTGGAGTCATTTCCTTGGGGAGGGTCCAGGAGGAATCAGCTAGGAAGGTCACAAGGGAGAGGTGGTCAAGTGTGCCAGACCATCCTCCCATCCCTCTGCTAGCACCATGGACAGCGGCACTCTCTTTTCCCTTCTTGCTGTGAACCTGGCTGTGGGGGATTGGGGACCCCTGAGCATGGGCTGTGAGCCCCAGCCCCAGTGTTCTGCAGGGAGCCTCGGGGTGCCCTGAGGTGGTCACAGGCAATGATCTCTTCCCCACCCTTTTATCCTCAGAACACGGTGGATAAACTCATCAAGAAAACCAACTTGGCTTTGGTGATTGGGACCCATTCCTGGAGAGAACAGTTTTTAGAGGCCGTTACAGTGAGCGCAGGTAAGTGGGGAGGGAGGAGAAAGGAGAGAGGGGGGGATGGAGAGACAGGGGGATGGCGAGGAAGAGAGAAAGAGGGACAATAAGAGAAGGAGAGCGTGATAAGAGAAGAGAAAGAACAAGAAAGACACAAAGAAACAGGGAAAGACAGAGGAAAAGATAAGGAACGGATACAAACAGGAGAGACAGACACACAAAGAGAGATGCACAGAGAATCATGGAGAAAGACAGAGACGTGGAGAGAGCACGAGAGATGTAGGGAGTGAAGTCCCTAAATGGCAGAAGGCCAGAGCGAGAGACAGGGAGACAGAGAGAGGGCCGGTGGGGGAGCCATCGGGCGGGGCTTTCTCATCAGACAGCCGCCGGGTGGGACCAGGTTAAAACTCTTGGCCTCCCCAGACAGCCTGGGCTCCTCTATTGCCATGGAGACAGTCACCAGGGCACCCCGCTCTCCCACCTGTGCGGTTCGCCCTCCTTAGGTCTCAGGCGGGCCCACACTGCCTCCCTGTGGCCAGAGACACCATGACACCTGGATTCACAGGCTCAATCCTGGGGATCAACATTGATTGGCACTTTGTGATACGGGCTGGGGAAACTGAGGCCCAGAGGCAGAGGAGGGACTGGCCTGAAGTCCCACAGGGAATTCAGAAAGAGCTGAGGTGGAGCTCAAGGCTTCTGTCCTTTATACATCAGGTTTCCTTCTAGGAGGCCTACCTGGTAGGAACTGAAAATACACCAGGAATTGTGGTTGCTCAGTGGGATCGAAAGAAACCAGGCTTTGGAGATGGAAAAATACCAGGTAGCAGAGCTGCGGACACCAGCTCAGAGGTCTAATAGAAACGAAGTGGTGTCTCCCTCTGAAGCCACATTCTTTCAATATCTATTTCTGAGGGATTCTCTGGACTCAGCCCTGTGTAGGACAGTGCTGGGAACAGAGATAACTGTGACTGATTGGTCCTTGTTCTCACAGAGCTCACAGTCCAGCGGGGCAGACAGACCTGTCACAAGACAGGGACAACCCAAAGCAGGCAGCGCTGGGACAGGGGACCCGACGCTGCTGCGGGAGCCCAGATAGGGTGCTGACCAGTTCGAAGGTCATGGAGGACTCCCTGGAGGAGGAGGCTTCTGAGCTGAGTCTTCACATTGGAATAGGAGTTAGCCAGGGGGAGGGAGAAGACAGGGAGGTGTTCCAGGCAGAGGGAAAACCAAGTCCAGAGTCTGGAAGTCTGCGGGGTCATGGCACATTGTGGGGCGGGGGGTGACTAGTTTCGGGCATGAAGAAGCACGGGATGAAGCTGCAGGTGGGCAGAGTCTGGACCGTGCAGGTCCTCATAGGCTCCAATAGGGAGCTTGGGTGTCATTTCGGTGCATGGGGGCCCGTGGAGCATTCTCAATGGGGGAAGCTCCAGGCGCCAGAGGGAGCCCGTGGAAGGAAGGAGAGGCTGGGGTGGGGCGTGACGATGTGATGAGTAATTGGAGCTTCTACCCAAGAATGCTGGGGAGCCACGGCCCTCCCTCCAGGCTTAGGGAAGAGGAGAAGGTGTGAGATGGTGGTTACGGAGGGCCAACCCGAGTCAGCCGGTGAGTCTGTAGAGAGCAACTGATTAGATCGGAGGAAGGAGTGAGGGGGGTGGGGGAACCATACCAGTGATAAGTAACCATCCTGATGGTGACAGTGATGACGGGGACAGTGGAGTGCCAGGCAGCTTGGAAGTCCATTTCCTGTATGACCTCACTTAACAGATGTTTCCCAAGTATCTGGTTCGGTGCTTGATCATTTTGCACTTTGTTCACCAAATGCCTTTCCATCCTTGATGTGAGCCCAAAGCTGCTTGAGGCGCTGCCGGAGAAGAGCAGTTCTCACCCCCTTGGAGGGTGAATCATGTCCCGTCTGGCAGGCAGAGGTGCTCTTGTATTATATCCTTTACCTCCCTGCCTCAACTGTAAGCTCTTTGCAGGGTGGCCTTGGTTTGGAGCATCAGTGAATCTCCCCAGGCACTAAAAGGGGCCTTCAAACAATAACCGTCACACTGGAGGTGGGCCAGGCTGCACGGAGAGTACTTTCTGTGGCCTCACTCATGTAGTCATCACAGCCTTCTCTTGAGGCTGGTCCAGTTCCTCCTCCCATTTCTCAGATAGGCATCTGGAAGCTCAGAGAGGTTAGGACACTGATTCAAGATCACACAGCAGATGCAGGGTTTGACACCAGAGAGGTAGCCCCAGAGCCATAGACATAACCATGAGGCTCCCTCCATGGGAAAGGCTGAAGAAGAGCCTCGCCTGATGGGAAAGGCCAGAGAAGTAAGCAAAGGCCAGAGCCTGCGGGTTCTCAAATCCCAAGCGCAGGAGTGTGGGCCTGGGTCTAAGGGCAGGAGGAAACCAAGGCAGGATTTGAAGCAGAGCAGGGAAAGCCCCCAAGAGATGCAATGAAAGCAGCCCCTTCCCTCCCAAGAGTGTGTTCTCCCCACTCTGACTTTGGCCATGTCTCACTGTGGCCAATTAGGAATGCATTCAGTAGCAAACACCAGAAAACTCAACCACAGTGGCTTAAGCACACTGGAGTTTCTTTTTCTCACAGAACCAAGAAATCCATAGGAGGCGATAAAGAGTTGGCAGCTCAGTAACATCCTTAAATGTCCGGGCTCCTCCTTCATTTCTCTTTCCCACTTTCAGCGGTTTGCCCTCGTGGTTGCAAGACAGCTGCCGCACCTCCAGGTGTCATGTTTGCATTCCAGGCAGGCAGAAAGAGGAAGCAGGGAAGCAAGGAGTGTTACACTGTTCCTTATCGGCGTCCTTCCGGATGTAGTGCTTGGCCACTGGAGTCGTTCACTACTTCTCATTCATTGCTTTATGCTTCTCAGTTTAGGGCAAGGTAGACAAAACATTTCATCTGTGCTTTCCTGTTACAAGTCAAAAGCAGGTGAAATTCCGTCACAATACGTGACACAGACAACTCTAATGGTGAGTGAGGCATCCCTGACATGGTTCAGAAAAACAGATCCGTAACACCGTGCCTGTGTCAGGAAAGCCGGAGCCTGCCGGAAACCCTCTGTTTAGGCCTCATTGCCAGACTGGGTCACATGGCCACTGCTGCAAGGGATTGTGGGAAAGCAAGTATTTAGCTGAGGACAGGACTGCCACTAGCTGTAAGGAATTCCAGGAAAGTTAATATTTTATCTGAGGACATGGCTATTGCTAGCCTGAAGGGATTCTGGGAATGTGAATAATGTTAGCTGGGTATCTGGCTGGCGCTCTAGCTGCAAAGGATTCTGGGACACTAAGCACCATTAGCTGAGTATGTGGCTACGGTTCGCTGCAGTGAATCAGAGCAAGTCAATAGTTCTAGCTACAGAGATGGCTGTCTGTAGATGGTACTTGTAAAGGCTTCCGAGAAAACGACTCTTTTTTTAGCTAGGGAGGTGACCACCCCTAGCAGCAAGGGATCCTAGCAAGCCAGATATTTTTAGCTGGGCACGCAGCCTCTATCTTCAAGGAATTCTGGAAAAGCGACTATTTTTATCTGGGCCCGTACGTTCTCCTAGCTGCAAGGGATTCTGGGAAAGCAATTCGCTTTAGGGAACTCACTGCCTGGAAATTGCACAGAATGGGAGGGGTCTGTAGGCGAGGAAGAAGGAGGCATGGGCGTGTGCCCCAGCTGGGTCGTGTGCCCACAGGGGACGAGGAGGAGGAGGAGGACGGGTCCCGGGAGGAACGGCTGCCTTCCTGCTTTGACTACGTCATGCACTTCCTGACGGTGTTCTGGAAGGTGCTCTTCGCCTGTGTGCCCCCCACCGAGTACTGCCACGGCTGGGCCTGCTTCGGCGTCTGCATCCTGGTCATCGGCCTGCTCACCGCGCTCATCGGGGACCTGGCCTCCCACTTTGGCTGCACCGTTGGGCTCAAGGACTCTGTCAACGCTGTAGTCTTCGTGGCCCTGGGCACCTCCATCCCCGGTAACCCCCTGGGAGACTGCTTGTCTGGGTAGAGTCTCAGAGAAGTATGACAGTAGAGCCTAAAAGAAAGGTTCTGCAGGTATCAGGTGGTGGAGTCATACAGAAACCATATGGTGGGTCCCCTAGAGATATGATGATGGAACATAATAGTAACTAGGCAGCGGGGGGTCTGTAGATTCAATATACAGACTGAACCCTCCCCAAAAGCAACCGGGTGTACTCTCCCATAGAACTAAGGTGGTGGGAGATGTAGAAACCAGACGATGGATTCCACAGAAAGAAGGTGGGGCACTGAAGAGAAAGGTAGGAGAGGGGTCCCATAGAAATAAGGTGGGGACTTCATAGGTACCATTCAGTGGGTGCCAAAGAAACAAGATGTTAATTCCCTTCCCCTCGAGAAACCACGTGGAAGATTCCATCGAACCATGTTGGTGGCCATGACAGGAACGAGGCCAATGAGTCTCAAAGCTTTAACTAAGATGAGAGAGCAGAGTCGAAACTAGATGTTGGAGGCCGGGGTGCCATAGAAATAAGACAGTGGGACCTCAAAGCCTGTAGTGTATGTCCCATGGAAACACAATGTCCATGATCGCCCTCTTCCCAAATAAACCTGAGAGAGGGTCCCTTAAAGACCAGGGGGCCCAGACAGAAATTCTTACAGGAGTGGGAAGACCAGATGTGGGGAGCCTGACACCTTTTTTTCCCACGTGGATGTGTTCACCAGTCGGGTGGTGGCGCTGGAGGCCTAGAAAGCAGGCGGCGGGTCCCGTAGACTACTGTGAATCGTTCCCTGATGCCCGCGCTCCGTACCAGAGGTCTGAGTTATTAGCAAAATGTTCAAAAGTGGGCAGAGGCCATAGAAACCAGGCTGTATACTTGACAGAAACCACGGGGGAGAATTGACAGGAACAGGATCGCGTGAGCATGGAACCTAACACAAATTTTGTCCAGCCAGGTGGCAATGGGAGGACTGGGCCAGTAGAAAAATAGGCGGTGGGTTCACGCGATGCGGAGAGTGATTCCTATGGAAAGCAGTGAGTCCCAGAGAAAGTAGGCGGCAGGCCCCATAGAATGCAGAGACTGCCCCCCACCCCCCATCAGGCAGCGAGTCCACAGGAAGCAGGCAGCGGATGCCACGGAAAGTAGGTAGTGGATACCACTGAATGCAGACCTAGAAAGCAGGCAGCGAGTTTCATAGAAAGCAGGCAGCTGGTTCTGTAGCGAGCAGGCGTAGGCACCGTGAGCCGCTTGGCCTCTCGGGTGGGGTCAAGGCCGCAGGTGCGGAGCTACAGCAGCGGGAGGCGGGGAGGGCACACGGCGCGATCTGGCTCGTCCGGGGCATGGGGGTGGCGCCATGGGGGTGGCGCCGGGTCTTACGGAGAGCAGGCGTCGGGGACCCGCGGGGCCCCTCTGACCGCCGTGTCTCTGCCCACGCAGACACGTTCGCCAGCAAGGTGGCGGCGCTGCAGGACCAGTGCGCGGACGCGTCCATCGGCAACGTGACGGGCTCCAACGCCGTGAACGTGTTCCTGGGCCTGGGCGTGGCCTGGTCGGTGGCCGCCGTGTACTGGGCGGTGCAGGGCCGCCCGTTCGAGGTGCGCACCGGCACGCTGGCCTTCTCCGTCACGCTCTTCACCGTCTTCGCCTTCGTGGGCATCGCCGTGCTGCTGTACCGGCGCCGGCCGCACATCGGGGGCGAGCTGGGCGGCCCGCGCGGCCCCAAGCTCGCCACCACCGCGCTTTTCCTGGGCCTCTGGTTCCTCTACATCCTCTTCGCCAGCCTCGAGGCCTACTGCCACATCCGGGGCTTCTAGCCTCCTCCCCACCCCCCGCCCCCGCCCCAGAGACTCGGCTGCCCCTGCTCTGGACCCGCGTCTCCTTTGTCCTCCAGAGATTCAGCCTCCTCTCCTGGGACTCAGCCTCCCTTCCTCCTGGGAATTGATAGCCCCGCCCTCTGTCCCCACTAACATCCTCCTCCCTTCCCCTCGGGAGTCTCCCCGCGGTACCCGCAACTGTAGCCCATCCGTGTTAGTCACTGTCCACACCCCTGGGGACATTTTCACCTCGAGGCCCCTCCCTAGAGAACCGCCCCCTACCCAGTGACCTTCTAGAGAATCTACCGTGGTCTCTCTAGACACCCAGCCTTTCCCTATCCCTTACGACCCCCTTCCCCTAGAGGATCTCCCCCCCCACACCCGCACCACTACCTGACCACCAGGGACCTGTGCCCCAGGGCCTCAGAACCTAGCCCTCCCTGGGGGACCTTTGAAGGAGGCTGATCCATCCCAGGATGTCCCCCGCTCTCAGCCCTTCTCCCCAACCCTCAGGGAGCTCTGTTCAGCCCCCGGGGGTGGGGCGGAGGAACAGGTAGGTGCGTGCATAAGGGGGCCACACCTTCCCTGATTTCTCCACTCAGGCCCTTGGGAGGACACTAATTCTCGAGGCTTGGAGAAGGGAGGGGAGAAGTTTGGGGTTTCAGAGCTGGAGGAGGCACATTTGAACCTGCAACTTCTCACATTCCAGCGCCCCCACTCGCCTCCACTACCTCTGAGAGCCCAGCCACGCCTTGGAAGGGGTGGGGCCTGTGTGTATATATAGTGTGTTTGGGGGAGGGGGGACGCGGGAGGGTGCATGTCTTGGGGAAAGGGGGTGACAGACTTTCCTTTTGTGAGGGCAGCAGACTCCCCCCCCCCCCCACCCATGAGAATTGGCTTTGGGGAGGAGGCCAGGAATCAAAGGGAGTCCAGCCATCTCCCCTGACAATCTAGAAGGCTCATTTTGCCCTCAGTGCCAGCCAATCCAGGCAGGACCCTCGAAGAGGAGACCGAGGGTCCCAGAGGACCAATGCTACAAGCCAGCAAATGCTGCCACATCTCTGCCTGATGGGGAGCAGGGATGGGTGGGAGGGTGGGACAGGGGCCAGGGGGTCTGGGTGGGCATTTTTAACTTTGGAGGCCACCCATCTGTTGGTAGGCCATCTGCATTTTCTTACTGTTGTTTCCTGCCCAAAGGACACACTTGGGTTGTGCGGAGTGCTGCCCACTGCTTGGGACCCTGAGGATCACCCTGCAACCCCCATAACACCCTGCTTCCCACAGGTTTTTAGCGTTCTATCGTCCTGTTGTGCATCACCCCAACATCCCAGACCTGTTACCCACTCCCCTTTCTCTACTCCTAGCTCATCAGCACCAGTCGCTGTGTCTTCTCTGTGATTTCTGTAAAAGTTGCCATAAAAATTTGAAATTCTGCCTGAAAAAACAGTCTTCCCGTCAGCCCTTGGGATTCTAGAAGAGGGAGCTAATGAGGTCTCTGAGACTTGGGCAACTGTGGAACAGATCAGGTACTCTGGGTTTTTCCATGCCCCCAGTCCTCTCCAGGACACCCACATGCACCAGCCACACTGAAAGTCCACCCTTGCTTCCCGTAGCCACTCCCCCATTCACCACCCAGTTTTCCCTAGCCACGCCCCTACGCAGCGCCCGGGAGCTTTCCCTAGCCACGCCCCCAATGACCACCCAGTTTTTCCTAGCCACGCCCCCACGCCTCACCCGGGAGCTTTCCTAGCCACCCCCCCATTCCACCAGCCACAAACTCTTCCTTTTCACTGGGCATCCTGGGAACACAAAAGAGGAGGACCCAGATTTGCCTGATCAGAAGAGCTGGGGTTGATGGGAGTTTTCTGAATAAAGCAAGTGATGTTCTCAGAATCCTGAAATAGGAGAAGCGGGGTGTGTGTGTGTGTGTGTGTGTGTGTGTGTGTGTGTGTGTGTGTG